GAATATAGCTCAGTGGTAGAGTGACCATGGGTTCAGTTCCCAATACAGGGTTAGGGGAGGAGGGAGTGGCTGCCTAAGGTGCTTGTTAAGAAGGATTCTGAGGTTCTGTAAGAAAAATGGTCTGGGACCAGGGGTGTAGCTCAGTGGTAGAGCACTGCCTATCACATACATGGCCCTGGGTTCGATGACTAGTCACACACACACACACACACACACAAAGAGTCTGAATGATGAGCAGATGTTGACTTGGCTGGGAGGGAGCCTAGAAGGTTAAAAAAGACTTCAGTGGAATGGGATATGGGCATGAGACAGAAGTTTAGCCCGAAGCCCCTTAATATAAACCCTAACTTTATTTTGTCTTATATGTGACATTAAAATGAATGTAGAACTTGCCCCATGCAGTGGCACACACCTGAAATACCAGCTACTTCAGAGGCTGAGGCAGGAGGATCACAAGTTTAAGGCCAACCTTGGGCAATTTAGCAAGACCCTGTCTCAAAAATAAAAAGGGCTGGAACCGTAGCTCAGTGGTAAAGTGCCCCCAGGTTCAATCCCCAGTACCAAAACAAAACAAGACAAAGAAAGATGGCCTAACGCTGTGGTGCTTACCTATAATCCCAGCGCCTCAGGAGGCTGAGGCAGGAGGATTGTGAGTTCAAAGCCAGCCTCAGCAAGTTAGGCCCTAAGCAACTTAGCAAGAACCTGTCTGTAAATAACATAGAAAAAAGGGCTGGGGATATGGCTCAGTGGTTAATTGCCCCTGCAGCACCAAAAAAAAAAATTGACTGAACCTCAATGTGAAGGAAGAAGTCATCATAATGAAGTGCGTCTGGCTGGGAACTTATATCGAAACAAGAGGAAAATGCAAAGAGGCATGAATTCATCTTAAGCATTATCTTACAGAACTGGGCCTCACTAAGGCTGTATCAGCTGAGAAGATTAATAATTCAAGTTGAAGAATTTTAAGGTGATTTGTTCCACAATTTTAACCTGTGCCACGGAGAACCTGTAGAGGCACTATTTTTCCAAGTCAAAGACTTTCTTAATAGTGGGTCTGGAGGCTGACTTATAAAGTTAGCCCATTTTAATATACTTATTTACACCAGAAGAAACAACCAGGAATAGAAATTCAGATGCCTCGTTTAACATTTAAACCACTCATTAATAATAGTCGTGAAGGCTGCAGCACCATGGGAAAATGTTTATAATGTGTTACATGAACACAGCAGGACCCAAAGTTGAAATTATACTGTAATTACAACATGCAAAAAAAAAAAAAAAAAAAAATCTGCATGGCAAAAAAAGACTGGAAGAAATACAAATGAAACGGTAATACTGAAATGAAATTGATAATACTGATTATTTTAGGGTGGTGATTATGAATGACTTTTTTCCCCCCAAGATTTCTGTAAGTTGATTATTTACTTAGGTGTGTTTGAAGAGAAAAAAAAATCAAGTGAAATTCAAGCTACTCTAATGGCTAAGACAGTGGCAATCCAACACGCTTATTAATAAGTTCACAGGGTGCAGAAGGATGCACACACTGTCAATCCTAGATGTGAGCAGAGCCACTAGATAAAAGCTAGATGCTATTTTTCCATGAAGATAGGCATCTCCAAAAAAGAAGAGTAGAATCCTGAGAAAGAGTCTCTTTCTATCATGAGAAAGCAATTTGTATTAAAGACGAACTTTGACCCAAGGGGAGAGGCCTAGAGCCTAGCACTTCAGAGCTGGAGGACAGGGTGTTAGCTAAAGGGAGGATGGATAGCAGTGCTGGCCTTCCCATGGGGACACTTCTTCTAAGGTCACCTCGAGAAGTCTATAATCTCCTTAATGGGAAGGCAGAACCCAGTCCAAAAAGAAAAGAAAAGAAAACAAAACAAAACCAAAAACAGTTTATTTGAGAAGAGATCAGCAGTAAAGATAGGAAATGAGAAAGAAGTAAATGAGCATCCTGTTGGGAGTGCTTTTTTGGTGTGTGTACGTGGTCCTTGGGGCTCAAACCCAGGGCTTTACACATGTGTGCTAAGCCAACACTCCACCACTGAGCCATACAGCCATCCCTAACTCAGAGAATTTTAAAAAAAGATTCAGGGGCTGGGGATGTAGTTCAGAGGTAGAGAGCTTTCCTAGTATGCATAAGGTCCTGGTTCCATATCTAGCACTGAAAAAATAAATCAGATTTAGTGGGACAGGAAACTGCTTTGTAATTTCTGGGGGAAACGTAATTGATATTTTTAGAAAAGAATGGCTATAGGAGTAAGAACAAGAAGGCTATTCAGAGAAAAGAAGGGGAATCTGAACCAAAGTGGATCCATGAGCCCCCAGGGGCCAGCTACAATATGAAATGCTGCAGACGGGGAGGTCTGAGGGGACACCATCAGTGATCTTGAAGAAGCCATCTCAGGAGAGCAGTGCAGAGGCACCTGATGTCTTTGTTCAAGCATTCTCTGAGTACACAAAGCCCAAGCAATGGGCGAGATGGTGGGGACCTAGGAGTGAATGGCCAGTTGTAAAGTTAAGGAGTTTGTAAACTGCAAGAAGGTTTGTTGGTAAAATTAGGAGGGAGAAAGTGCAGGTGAGAATATATAGGGAAAAGTGAGGGATTTTAAGTACAGGGAGACCTGGGCACATTCATAGAGAAGAAACCTAAGATTCAAGAATAGGGACAGGAAGGAGACAGGAGGAAACAGGCCTGAGGTCTTTGGAAAGGAGAAAAGTCTTATTCTTTCTGTCTGGTGGATGTGGGAGGTAACGGGGTTTAGCCCAGGAATGCTTAATCACTGAGCCACATCCCCAGTCCTTTTTATTTTGAGATAGTCTTACTAAGTTGCTTAGGACCTTGCTAAGTTGCTGCTGAGGCTGACTTTGAACTTGTGATCCTTCTATCTCATCCCCCCCACCCCCACACCCCTCTCCCACTAGGGTTACAGGTGTTGGCCACCAGACCTGGCAGAATACACCATTTATTATGCTAATAAAGAAAAAGCTGATAGGGAGGAGAGTGCAGTTAGGTTCATGGCCTGAAGTAAGGTTTGGAGGCACCAACTCTAAGTTTGGGGGTAACAGGTGGGAGGAAGCAGGACAAAGGCTAATGAACTCTTCCCTCTAGTAAGAAACTCAGGATGGGGAAGGGATTGAGCAGGGGTAAAGGAGGCATTGGAGAGCCATTGACTCTCTCTATTCATTATCTCCACTAAGCCATACCTAGGCAGTAGGTTGAGAGGTGTGATTAAGCAATGTCTTAGTGCCCAAAATTTCTCCTTAGAGGTGCTGAAATTATAAAAACTTGGTGTGAACTAATAAATAAATATCCTTGAAGAATGCGCATGGAGTAAGGCTACTCCACATTTCATACTCTAGAGTAGATTTGTCAACATGTAAGAGCAGGGTGTCAAGAACAGGGCGCAGTGGTGTATGCCTGCAATCCCAGTGACTAGGGAGGCTGAGGAGGGAGGATCAGAAGTTTGAGGCTGGCCTGGACAATTTAGTGAGACCCTGCCTCAAAATAAAATTTAAAAGGCTGGGGATGTAGCTCAGTGGTAGAGTGCTTGCCTAGTATGTGGGTTTGTCCTACAACAAACAAACAAACAGTTGCCAGGATGCTGAGGAAGTGAAAACCACTGCATGTGACCTGAGGAGAAAGGCACCCCTGGGGGCAAAGGCAGAGCTCTGGTCCCTTAACTGTAAGGTGGGCCTGCTGCTCTCGGGCATCCAGGAGCTTAGAAGTCCAGATGGCAAAGTAAACGGAATGGAACGGGAGGTAGGAAAGGTCCCCAAGAGAGCAGAAAGGTGAGTGTTGAAACACAAGAGTCTAGGGACCATGTCATGTAAGGGGAAGCTTTCTGCATTTCCTCAGAGCTTCTCTTTGCAAGTTGCTTTTCCTCCTCTATGAATCTCTTACAGCATGTTTGCTATCGAGACAATCTTAAATGGTAAACTTTTAGAAAATAAAACAAACCTGGAAGGGACTTCATAAATTATCTCATAAAATCTAATTTTACAGAAGAGGCAGTTGAGGCTGAGAGGGAAGTGACTTGTTCAAGGTATACAGCATACCAGATCTAAGCCAGAATCGGAAAAGCCCCAGGGTCCTGCCTTGTGCACTGCAGTACCTGTCCATCTGCTTCCCGGAACCTGCAGCTCCCTGAGGTTCCTGTGCATCCAGCACGAAGGCACTCCTCCTCCCTGGCACAGTTAATGATTAAAACCCAGTCTCATCTAAAGCATGGTAGCTGTAGTTACTAATTAAGCCAACTCAGTGAGAAAAGACAGTTCAAACAGGAGAGTGGAGCATGCTACTCACAATCTATAGGCCTGCAGATTGCAGCAGTAGAAACCACACAATTATAATATTTTAAGTCCACTTAAAATATTTCATAAAACAATATCTTAACCTCTGTAGCCTTACATTTTCTGTTCATTGCATGCCACATGCTGGGCAGGGATCAAACTTTTGGGTGTTGAGGGGGAGGAATTTAACTAAAATAACTTTCCTTAGTGTTTGAGTGAAGTAGGTAATCAAATCTGTTTGCTGTGCTCGCTGTCTCCAGATAGGGCTGTAATTACACCACATGAGGAAGAAAGGTAGCTGAGTCTCAGTCCAGATCATTTATGTAAACTCAGCCTTCTTATCAACGGTGTTCTCACATTGCATGCGTGCAAACCACAAAAATCATCTCCTGTGAACCACACAGAGACAGCGTACGATTGCAGGCTTGCGAGATTGCTTATGTTCTTTCTATAATTGGATGTCTGTGGTTCAACACCAAAACTTGACATTCTGAGGGTAAAAGAACACGCTTACCAATGAACTCCCTAATATAACAATTACATTTCCCAAATTTGTAAAAATTAAAGGTATTGTCTAAACCAAAGTATTACAAATGCATACATTTTACTTGGTGAACAACTCGTTTTTCATTTAAAAAAAAAAGTTTGGTTCTTTGAGATGTGTTTGAAAATAATTTGATGTTCAAGAAAGAAAAATAGACAATTTCTAATATACCAAGATAACATTTAATCTCCTACTTTAAATATTTGGCAACTTTTTCAGCAATTTCCCTCCTACCCCCAAATCTTATAAAAACCATGATGCTAGAAATATTCATATTGTATCTATAAATAGAGACATAATTGCAAGATGACAAAGAAAGCATATTTTTTCTTAATTCACTGAACTCTTCTCCATTTTGACAGATGGGTCAGTGGTTTCTGATTTGACAATCCTTCCTGGCTGGGATCCAGAGTGTTTCTCTTGACACCTGCAGCTTCCAGCTTGCTCTGTCCTCTCTAGAAGGAAAACCACAGGCCACCGCCCTGGCGCCATCCGTGGCTCGGTCCAATCAATAAGGACTTATTTCCTGTCCATTTGCTGAGGTCACAGGAGCGAATCTCATTAATTATTTCTGCTGCTGCAGCCTCAAGTGTGCTTCTGGCGTGACAAGTGAAAACTGCTTGACCTTTTTTTTTTCCTTCTAATTTTGTTTGTAGCAGTTCCAAAATGAAGGCAGTATTCATTTTAGCAATGTGATAAAAGGAAGGAGGAAAATGTGTATATTTTAAAGTCATAAACACGTTTAGATATTTCCTCACAAAAGCTCTTCCAATCACCTCATTCCCTAGGTTTTTCAGCTAAGGAACAATAGGGTCTTTTTAATTTGGTGTCATGAAAATCTGGTCACAGCAAACACAATGTTTTCTAAAGCCGATCTGGCCTCCGAGGGAGGGAAGCTCTCCAGGGCCTCCAGTGCCTTGTTTCCATGGTAACGACACAGGTCAATAGCTGAAGTCACACCTTTGCCAGCTTTGATTGTTTCTCGCAACTGTTAAGAAACAAATGCACAATAAAAGTCAGTTTTTAGGGTTCGGGATAAGGATCACAATTAATTTGGCGCGCGGGGGGGGGGTGTTGGAAAAACAAAGAAGGGGAGAAACAGTGTAGCTTCAGTATTTCTGCTCCGTTATTTTGAGGAAAGAGGACATCATTCCCCAGTGATCCAGAGGCACTCACACTCCCGGAGGCTGCTCCTGTCCGCGCCGCGCTGCAGAGCAGCACAATAGGCTCCAATCAGCCTAATTACACCTCCTCCACTCCCGCCCCTGGATTCGCTGAAATGTGCCAGGCTGCGAGGGCACTCACCAAGGCGGAGGGCATTTACATCCCTGGGATTTTAAATTCGATGACTGCTATTCTTATGTGAGGAAGCCTTCACTAACATCTTGGTTCATAACTTTCTTTTTAACACCATATGTGAACACAATAGACCATATGAAAATTCAAGAAAGACACATGTTATTAGACTGAATGTGACAACTTCAACGAGTTGGGAACAGCGGCACTCGCCTGTAATCGTAGCAACCGCAGCTGAGATGAGAGGACCAAAAGTTTCAGGCCAGCCTCAGCAACTTAGACCCTGTCTCAAAAAATAAAAAGGGCTGGGGGTGTAGCTCAGTGGTAGAGTGCCTGGGTCCATCCCCAGTCTCCAAAACAAAACAAAAAAGCTGAAAATTTTTATTTGGGAAGAATTAACCAACACAACCTTTGTAAATGATTAACTCTTGCTGACAGGGGAAGTTCACTCCAATCCCTCTCTCTGATCACAAAAAAAGACCAATGAAATGGTTACACTTTAGAGGTGGAGAAAATTCAACTATTTGTTCTGTCTACTTTCCTCCACCCCATTTCCATCTTCATTGACAATACCTCCGATGTCTACCTCATTCCCCAGGTAAGGAATGGGGTCCTTCTGGGTCCCCAGATCAAGGGCAATTCTAGGGTTGCTCACTATGACTGAACTCTCTGGCCTCCACAGACTGAGTGAGGCCAGGAGTTAAGTTCTAGTCTAGTAGTGAATGATGTGCATCACTTCTGGGCTGTAGTGTTGAATTGTCTAGGAGAGTCCCTTTAGGGCTCTCCTTCTGGCACTTGGAGTTGTTTCTTAGCCTGAATCCTGAGTGATTAAACCATGGGCCTCTCTGCCTGAAATGGACATGTAGTGTGGACAAGAGACCCAGCTTTGTTGTCTTAAGCCACCGAGACTATGAGATCATCTGAAGCCATTTTCACTGATACAGTCAATAAGTCCTAGTCGGTCCTTCTCCCTTGGAGCTCTCAGATTTATGCTCTACGCTTCCTTCCTATTGCCACTACATTAGTTCAGGCTCTCATCATCCCTTGCCTGGGCTATTTTTTGCAGTCACCTCCTAGAGAGTCTTCCTACCACCAGTTCTGCACCCCTGAACCCCATCCGACACGGCACACTGCCAAGAGATTTATAAAATACAAATTCGACCTTGCTTAAAACCCTCCACTGCCTTAAAAGTCCAAGCTTTTTCAGGAGACAGTGACATCTCTTCCCCAATCTAGTTCTAGCCTAGCTTCAATATCCTCCCCTGTACCCTTTCATCATGTATTTAGGGCATCTAGTTGCAGTTCTCACCTATCATCTCCCCTGGGACTGCCCTCCCCCACCCCCTCAGCTCCCCAAATTCTACCTGGGTGGAATATACTCAGCTACCATGGTGGCCCTGAGGGGCTAGGTGTTGCTCTTCCTCTTGGCTTCCAGAGTACCCTGGACACATCTGGAGTGCAGCCTTATTATACAGTATCGAATTTCAATTTTCTATTCATTTATCTACTCTTTATGAGGTTTTATGTTACTGCATAATGCATTAAATATGAACAAAAAAGAAATATGCTGGTTTATTCCTCTAATTATACAGTCAAGAGAACATAGGTCTAGAGAAACTCAGTGACTTAAGATCATAGATGGAGAGTGGCAAAACTGATGTCTCATCCAAAGGCACTTAATACTAAACCCCAGGTTCCTAGCACTCCACAGATATTTCAACTGCATATGAATTCTGGGACTATTCCAGCTTGGGTTTCTCTGGTCTCTTGCCAATCACTGAATGCATGGAGGTACTAAAATGGTGTTGGGTAGCAGGGGCAGCAAGATTCAAATTCACATTCCAGCTTTACAATCTGATGGAAGCCACTTCACTGCTCTCAGTTCTAAATGAGGATAATATCAGTTTTTCTGTAGGATTGCTGGGAGTAGGGTACATGACACAGAGTGCTTGAGAGTGTCTAAATCACTGCAGATGCTCAGGAGACTTAGTTCTCCCTCTAAGCCCTTAGCTATGGCCAAGAAAGCCATTGAATCCACTCAGATCAAGATTATTTTGACTTGATAACCAATAGCCTCAAAGGTAGCTGGACTTGGATCAGAGCAGTCCTGGACATAGATAGATAAGAGAGACAGATAGATAGGACACTCCCCTATTTTCATTTTCTTTAATCTCCCCAAATCTATTTTTATTCATAGTATGTATTTTTTTAATTTTTAAATTCTAATTTGTTATATACGACAGCAGAATGCATGACAATTCATACTACACATCTGTAGAGCACAATTTTTCCGATCTCTGGTTGTATACAAAGTATATTCACAACCATTCCTGTCTTCATACACGTACTTAGGGTATATTTTTTTACATAGTATTTATTTATTTTTTATTCTTTTTTATTCTAATTTGATATATATGACAGCAGAATGCATGCCAAATCTAAATTGGAAAATCCAACATTCTCTTCTATTCTACACTTCTAGGTTGGTAACTGTAAGCATGAGGACATCTGCATTACTAGATTAGATGCTCAAATTACAAGTACTAATCGAGCACCTACTATTTGTAAAGTACTAGTAGAATGATCCTTCTCTAGTTTATGGATCCAGAACCAATGAAGGGCAAACTATGAAAAGCAGCAAACCAAGGTTGTACTAAGCTGTTGAGAAGAATGAGGGATTGACTTTAGTTGGGAGACTCTTAGAAAGACTTGCAGAGTGTGGTTTCAGGCATGAATGTTAATAAACAGATATGGGAAGAAAACAGCCTGAGCAAGGGCACAGAGGAGACCAAAGAGTGCAGAGTGTCCAGAAAATGAAAACAGATTAGTGAGGCATAGCTTCCAGGGCTAAGTATCAGGGGACCCAGGAAAGTTCTGAAAACCAGACTAAGATATTTGTACTTTTGTTTTCTTCTAATTTTTAGTATAAAGTATTTTTTAAAAACAGAAAAGATGTAAGATTATAGCCCTGGGTTAAATTTGGTCCCCTGTTTTAGCATATAAAGTTTGGCTGGAACATAACGATGTCTATTAAATGTACTGTCTATGGCTACTTTTGTGCTATGGGGCAGAGCTGTAGAGTTGAGCTACTGCTGCAGACTGTATGGCCTACAAAACCAAAGACATTTACATTTTGGCCTTTACAGAAAAGGTCTGCTGACTCCTGAACTAATACAATGAAAAACCATGTATCTTCCACCTAGACTCAACCATGGTTACATTGTTATTATTTGCCATACTGCTGGACTGAACCCAGGGCCTTGCCCTGCTAGAAAAATGCTCTACCACTGAGCTACATTCCCAGCCCTTTTTATGTTAGACGAAATCTTGCTAAGTTGCCCAGGCTGGACTTGAACTTACAAATTTCCTGACTTAGCCTCTCAACTAGCCAGAATTCCAGGTGTGCATTACCATGCCACTAACAGTTGTTAAGATTTGTCATTGCTGTTCTATCTGCATGTATGCATGTGCCTCTGGACCATTTGAAAATAAGGTGCAGGAAGTGGTATGCTGGTAAGTTAGTTCTCAGGAGTATAGTGGTGGGGGAAGCCCTAGTTGTATATTTGCAGATTTCCATTCTCTGATTTCAATCTGCCAGGGTCTAGGGATCACAAAATTCTTGGATCTTTAACAACAGTACCTCCTCAAAAATTTGATTCTATGATGAAGGCTGATTGGCTCTGAGTTGTTAGGACTTGGTTTGGGCATATCACTGGGTGTAGGATGCTTCATCCTTTTTTTGACTTGTTATCTCCTAAGATAACATTCTCCTATACAATCACAATACTATTATCACAACTAAGAAAGTTAACTGGGAAAGTTAGAGAACTGCTGGGCATGGTGGCACATACCTGTCTGTAATCCCAGCAATGGGGGAGGCTGAGGTAGGAGGATCTCAAGTTTGAGGCCAGCCTCAGTAACTTAGCGATACACTAAACAATCTGGCAGAACCCTGTCTCAAAATTTTTTTTTTTAAAAAGGGCTGGGGATGGGGGTGGCTGGGAATTTAGCTCAGTGGTAAAATGCCCCTGGATTCAGTCCCCAATACCCCCCCCCCCCCCAAAAAAAAGAGAATTCTCTATTATTTAATATAGTCCCTATGCAAATATCCTCAATTGGTTTCCAAAAAATTTTTAACCATTTTTTCAAGCCATGATTAATCCCAGTTCGCACATTTGTTTGCAAAAACACTTTAATCTCTTTTATTCTGCTACGACACTGTCATTTTTTTTAAAGAGAGAGAGAGAGAGAGAGAGAGAGAGAGAGAGAGAATTTTTTAAATATTTATTTATTTTTTTTAGTTATTGGCGGAACAACATCTTTTGTTTGTATGTGTGCTGAGGATGGAACCCGGGCCGCATGCATGCCAGGCGATCGTGCTACCGCTTGAGCCACATCCCCAACCCGACACCGTCATTTTTAAAGAACCAGGCTGTGTTACAGAATGATTTACATTTTGATTATTTCATTTAGTTTGTTCCTCTATGAACTTAATTCAACCTGGCTCAATTGAATATATCTGTATATGCTAGGGGTGTGTGTGTGTGTGTGTGTATTTATTTATTATTATTGTTTTTTGGTACAGGAGATTGAATTTAGGGGTGCTTTACCAGTGAGCTATATCACTAGTTCTTTTTTTTTTTTCTTTTTGATAGTGGGGATAAACCCAGCGGAGCTTAACCCCTGATCCAC